CACACACACACACACACACACAATTTATGGCCAAAGAATAAGCAGTGCTTGTAGAAATCAATAGTGCTTCACATTCAGAGGTGAGCGCAGACATTCAATCAAGGCTTTTCCTCGCCAGCTGATCGGCCCGACACTCCGAGCTGCTCCACGGCACCGGAGTCTCCCAGCACGACCTAACAAGGTGCACATACAAATTCACGACAGCACCCCCCACCACCACATACACACTAAGATGCACTCATCAATCAACTGTCAGCAGTGAAGAATGAAGACTGTGGCGGCAGCGTGCATGCTGTTATATTAAGGAACAGATGAATGGATCAAACAYGCTTTGTTGAGCTTTTGACAAAACATTACTGAACAGTTTGTGTGTGTGGGCAAGTGCTACTCATATTTAGGTGACATAAATCTGTTTGCACAGTTATACGAACTCCTTTTCTTCATAAATCTAGTCTCTAATGTGGAAATCATGAGATCAGGAGGTGATTGTGAGGGCAGATGCTGGTTTAGTTGAGAATAAGTCTCCACACTYCAAAAACTGTCCATCTTACCAAGTTTTAAAATCTTATATCCAGCCAAAAAGCCTTTTTGATCTTGTGTAAGAATAATAATCTTGTTTTCAGAATGTGTATGATTATTTGTCGTGTTAGTCTGAAAATTTGACTCAAATTAAGTCAAAAAATTTCTGCCAATGGAGTAAGAAAATTTTATTTGGTAAGATTCTTGAAATACTTGATTTGACGCAATTTTTTTCTTATTTCGAAAATCTTACCAAGTAAAAGTTTCTTACTCCATTGGCAGAAATGTTTGACTTAATTTGAGTCAAATTTTCAGACTAACAAGACAAATAATCTTACACATTCTGAAAACAGGATTACTATTCTTACACAATCAGTTCTTGTTTAGTAAATCAGTCTCAAAACGAGATCAAAAAGACTTTTTGGCTGATATAAGATTTTAAAACTTGGTTAGGTGGACAATTTTTGCCGTGCAGAAAACTAATTTTAAGTCAATGAAATGTCCTCTGAAGAAATGCATATCGCCCGCCATCTTTAGACTGAAAGAGTTGTTTTAGTCAAACTTTTTAATGCAGCATCATCACACTCAGAGTTGTGAAGGACTCTCAGCTACTAAATGTGACCGAACTGCAGTCTTTTTTTTTTACTTTTAAAGGACAATTGGCTTAGGTGGACTACTTGAAAAAAGGTAATTAGTTGTAAATATATATCTAAGGATTACTAAGGATGTTCATGAGATATTTTGGAGACAAATCACACAAAGACTGTGATAATTAAACACATTTACCTGTATATACTCCAGTTAAAACCAGAAACAGCAGTGTTAGAGAGCTAATCAYTGGAGGTACAGTCTATTCCGTGTTTCAGCATTTTAATCATCATGCAGCGTCCATTCTGCCCCTAAAAATATCAAGTCCTGACTGACATCTCTTACATATTTTATGTCTCATTCAGTGTTTCAGTGTTGTGGGGATTCATTTCTATGCAGCTGCAATTACAGCATCTGTGTGTGTGTAGCATACACACCATCTGTCCGACAGCATTATGCAGACATGATCACTGCACATGTCGCTGCGATTCACTCACATTTAGGCACAAGAAACTCACTAAGAACTGCAGCTGATGTTGGTTTGACTTGTCCTCGTCTGGATGGTTTAAACCCAAACCAGTGAAAGTAGTGGTATATAAAGTGGTATATAAAGTACTTGAAAAAAATAACCATGTAAAAGTAGAAATACCTTAACAGACTTTGGTAAAAATGAATTTCACTGATAAGAAAAGTACTTAAAAGTCATAAAACTGCTCAGAATAACCGGGAAAGTAAAAGTACTGTTACACACATGCTAAGAAATGAAGTGTTGAATTTWTTTAACCAAACCGGTTCTACTAAACTGAGTTTGAATAAAGCAATTTACTCAACTCTGAAGGGACGAAGAAGGAGTGAAGGGAGTGAGGAAGGTGGCGCGATGAGGGCGAAAGGGGAGGGTGGGTGTCGAGACAGCGAGCTGAGGGCAGAACGCCAGGTGAGGAGAGTTTAAATAGACGCTGCCTGATTAGCTGAACGTGACAGGCGTGGTCCTGCTCCCGAACCTAAGTTAATATTTTAACTTCATGAGTTCTGATCATAATTAAATTTGTAATGTGTAATGAGGATATTATAAAGTAAAGAAGTAAAAGTACAATTTTTATGTTCTGAATGTAATGAAATAGAATTAAAAGTTGTGATTTTAAAAATAAATTGGAAAAATTACAGATCCTCAAAAAATACGTAAGTACTGCAACGTAGTAAATGTACTTTGTTACTATACACCTCTGGGAAAGAAGGGCGTCTCTAACTGGAAATATATGTTAGATTTTATGGTAACACTTTCTAATAATTACACCTTATTTAACCTTACTTAATCATTAATAAATGGTTCGTTCATGAGTAATTAAGCATGAATAAACAATTAGTATGTTGCTTTAGGAAGTAATTAGTCTTTATGTGTAAAGCATTAATAAACATGTTAATTTCTAACTTATTAAGTATGAATTATTCTTAATTAAGGATGTTTTCAATGTTAACTAACCATTTATTAATGGACAAATTTAGGTAAATAAAGCGTAGTTATTAAATTATTTTAGCAGGATTTTACTCAGAACAGAAAATAATGATCTCATTTTTAACCTCAGGTTGAGCATGAATATAAAAATGACTTAAACTGAAAGAGTGATTTAGGGAACGTAGGATGAAAATGCCCCAGTAGGTTTCTTTAGACCAACTACAGCTCTAATTGTTATATCCTTCATTATTACCCACTCTGCTAAAAGATGAATACAAAGGACAAAAAAACAARAGTTTTTGTCTTGAAATGTTTAAAGAATTGACTCACGATCAAAGACAAACTGTAAACTTTAAGTAATCATCACATCCTCCTGTCAGAATAACTTTCTAATTATTTAGTTCAAAAGGAAGCACCCTTTGTGCATCAAACGGTAAATGATTTGAAGTCATATAACACCTAATAACTTATTTTATGTTCTACAAAGCACTTTCTCTCCATCTTTTTATTTACCTCCTTGTTCGAGCACTCATAGTTAAATGGAGCTTTTGTTCTAGAACACTCTGCAGCCGCGGCCTGAGAACCATTAAAAGTATTGAAAACAAAGAGGTGCTGCTGTTTGTAACAAGTGGAGCTCAGCTTCTTGATGGTTTTGTCTCCGTTTGAAAGTAAAAAAAAAAAAAAATCCAAGAACACCAATCAATAGATTAAATGCTGTGCCTGTCTCTTGCTTTGACTTGAGATTGTATCGGACAGAAAGCAAAGATGCGTTTAAAGACAGAAAATCCAATTTGTTCTGGGAAAGAAGAGAACAAAACGAGCAAAGAGACAATTTAGAAGCTGAAGTTTACAAAATGTGTTTAACATGCCTCCTTCAAAATTCATATTTYTATTTAATTTTTTTTGCTTTTAGGATTTACAAATTTTCACTGAAATGAGACATAAAATGATGACAATCTCACAAAAAATTTTTAGAAAAGTTTTTTATAAACATGCAGTGTGGAGACTGAACAAACCTGAGCTGTTAAAGCTAACAAAAGCTAAACACTAGCTAAAAATTACAAAGAGAAAAGGTAAGCTAAATGATAATGTATCAAACACCTGCTAGAAGCCAAAAGCTAAAAAATAAAACAAAAGGCTAACTAAAAGCTAAAAAGAGCATAAGAACCTAAAAAATAAAGTATATTGGGRGCCAAATGTAAAATAAAAAGTAAAAAGTCATTAACAGATTTTCATTATTTAGCTCTGTTCTTACATTTAGCTAATTTTTTTATACCAAATGTTAAATTTAAATGTTAATATACGGAAATATTAAACTCTAAATCTAAATGTGTAAATCTAAATGTAAAAGTCCATCTTAAATGTTACAGCAAAATGATAAAGATTACATTTAAGTATTTCAGAATGGAACACAGCCTTTGCCGTTGATGCGCAGCTTTCGTTGTGACGTCATCATGCTGCGACAAAAGCAACCGCTAACACTGCTGAAGATGGCATTTAAAATTTAAATTCAAAATGTGTTCACTGAAAACAGTCTGGATGGTACCTGTGGTCCGGCAGATTGAAGTGCAGCTCAGACACAACTGCAAGTAGGATGTTTTATAGGGAAGAATTTGAAGAGTTAGCAGCGTTAGCATTGCTTGTAGCATTAGCACTGCTAGCAGCATTAGTGGTTGTTTTTGTTGCAGGATGACGACATCATAATAAAAGCCAAGCATCAACAGCAAAGGCTGCGTTCTGTTCTAAAATACTTAAATGTAAACTTTAACTTTTAACTGCAGCATTTAAGATTTAATTTTTAAATTTAGATTTAGGATTCAATTTTTAATATATTACATATAGAACAGTGAGCTAAATACTGCATTACAATGTTGGTGGAATTATTTTAAACTAGTATTTTAACACTTAAAAAGTGAGAAATAATGAAAATGTGTTTGTGACATTGTGTAAC